GGCTTGAGAATCCACTCGTAATTTTCAGAAGCGCAAGCGTAAATTTCAGAAGCAAGCGTAATTTTCAGAAGCGCAAGCGTAAATTTCAGAAGCAAGCGTAATTTTCAGAGGCGCAAGCGTAATTTTCAGAGGCGCAAGCGTAATTTACGCTTGTGAAACGTACATTTGACGTACATTTTTACGAGTTATTTTTGACAGCGATCTTACTCCATACTTGTGCCCTGTTTAATTTTGGTTCTGCTTTTACATTACTCCCTAGTTATTTTTCCTAACATAATTCCAAGTGTTTGGTTAATGTTCCCTAGTTTCCTCTGTTTATTAATCATAATGTATTCCAATTATTTCTTGTTACCCTGTGCCTTCCTGCATGATCGGTCGATTTGGTCATAGTCCACACCTGCCCTTTGTTAGTCCTCGTTGTCTACATTAGTGTGTTTGTAAATGTTACTTAGATTTCTAAAATGCTTCAGTTCATTATAACAAATGTTATCCCTTAATATCACTACATAATTATGGGAGTAGTTTAAATTATCACAAAACAAATAGGTGGTTTTACTCTGTGCAAAGTTCAATGGCACTATTCATGTTTATTAAATTACCATTAGAATGGAGAGCTTTTTAATATCGTTTGTCCTTGTGGCTGCCGAATGCACTCAATATTAAAGCCATGAAGTTGTCTGCCTGCTACCTTAGAATCTTCATTCATCATCTTTGAGAAAATGTTGAGGCTAAAATATAACTAAAACAAAAAAATGGGCACTAAATAAAAGAAAATGATTTGTCATTTAAAATAAAAATGAGTTTAACAAACAAAGATACATAAAATGTATACAGATTAACTCTCATTAATAGTTTAGGCATACTGCTAATTTGCTTATTGAATTGTGGGTGAAGACAATGTCCAAATAGTGCTGAAAAGCCGGCGTCCATCATCTAAAGCCCTGCAATAACATACAGTGTGCTGTTGTCAAAATAAAATTAACTTAAATTAAACCATCTTTTTGGTGTTCAGGAGGAAAATTAATAATTTCGATTAATCGACCAATCAGTAAAATAGATTAATCCATAAAAAATAATTGTTAGTGGCAGCCCTACAATTCAGCAACCACATCTCCATGGTAGCTTGAATTTTGTGTGAAATTCTCAGTCACATCACCCTATTGAGGTGATGTATGGCTGAGTGGTGTGTATGTGCTAGTGATTGGAAGGTTGCTAGTTCAAATCCTCTTGGGCCCTTGAGCAAGGATCTTAACCCCAACTGCTCCAGATACAGGCTGACCCTACTTTTGCAACTGCACCAACTTATAGAGCACAACCCCCATCATGCACTAGTGTAGTTATAACTACACTGAAGTTTTCTTCAGTTGGTAATACAAACCCCTTGGTTTCTGCTGCTATTAAGAATGATAAATGTTACAGCTCAATTTATTGCCTGCTTTAGGCACTCACAGTACTCAATGCCCAGGACAACATCTCTGAAGTATAGGAGAGCTTGCTCCTCACTCAGTGGGCTGTCTGTTGGTACTTCTGTTACAGGCCTGTGTGAAGTTAGAGGGTCAAGCAGTGACAAGGCAGAAAAAAGGCAGAAACATCAGAGCTGTTTAGCAGTCACACCTCTTCCTACCACTCCACTGCTGCCAGGCTTATCTCAGCAATTTCCTCTTCATGGCCAAAAATTACTTTGAAGTAGGGCTGCGGAATTAATTTAATATTAATTTCAGTTACAATTTTGGCTTCCAAGAAGTCCCATTTTGTGTTATAAATCCAGAGCACCCTATTCCAGCTCCATTTTATTTGTTTCTCAGTTGAATTATATTCAAGGAAATCCACTCTTAAAAAGACAAGGTTTTTTTTTTTGCAAGTTCAATAAATGCATAATAATTCTAATGATTTTTGCCAAAATGAAGCAGCCCTACTTTAAAATATATGTGTATATGTATATATGCAACACAATTGCACTGCACAATTGCATTTATATACACACACACACAGTAATTTGATACTCTACGTTAACATTTACTTTGAAATACTTACCCTCTCTGCATTAACTCAAATGCTACAAAGATAAGGAATAAACCACTGTTGATGCAAGTCATGTCTAGTCCATAATAATGTCTTAAAATCAAGTAAAATAAAAACAAACCATAATATAACTGGCATACTATATTCATATTAAAAGAACTTAATTTAAAAATAAATCTGTATCTATCATTTTATTTTAGTACATAAAATCAGTTAAGGTGTCAAAAATTTTCATTGGAACCTTGTAGTTTTAATTATTAGCACAGTTAAGCTTTACCCATATGAAGGTTGTCCTCTTCTGGATCATCAAGAACCTGCATAAGAACAAAACCAATTAACCATTTAGTAAAAGAACAGTAGCATGTACAGTAGGAGAATCAAAAAACAACCATCACACAATCCGTTGTTCAAGGAACATTGCTACTACAGTACAGCAGGACCTACATCACCTCCACCAGTTTGACAACATTCAAATGGTCCAGCTTCTTCAATATGGCAATTTCCTGGTAGACCATCTCAAGTGGGCCAAGGAACCTGGTTTCCTGTCCTTGGGAACCCTCTGGTCCTCTAGAGGGGGGGCGGCCTAAAGACAAAAATACATCCATCCATTTTCTGTAACCGCTTATCCTATTCAGGTATGCGGGGGTTCTGGAACCAATCCCAGAAGGCAAATGTACATCAATAGTTGGATCACTGGTATACTAACTTTTGGACAGAACAAACAAAAATGATCTGAAGTCAACATGCACACTACATAATCTGGGAATTTCTATATACTTTTATATTACCCTGGGACATTTCTGACATTTCTGTATTACATAAGGGTTAGTGCATGACAAGCCATGCATTATACATTTTTAAATATGTACAAAAGTGAAAATATTATTAACAGTTTTGTGTTGCCATGTCATCCTCTCTTGTGACCAATAACCAATCAGCCATAACATTAAAACCACCTGCCTAATATTATGTAGGTCACCCTCGTGCTGCTAAAGCAGCTCTGACCCGTCGAGGCTGGACTCCATAAGACCTCTGAAGGTGTCCTGTGGTATGTGGCACCAAGACATTAGCAGCAGTTTGTAAATTTCTTATGTTCACAGTGGGCCTCCGTTCATAGTGGGGTACCGCAGGGTTCAATTTTAGGACCACTATTGTTCCTAATTTACATTAATGATATTGACACAAATACATACAGTAAATTGGTTAAATTTGCAGACGACACCAAGGTGGGCGGTGTAGCAGATACTGATCTAGCAGCAGAGAGGCTTCAAAGGGATCTGGATTTAATTAGCGAATGGGCTGATACTTGGCAGATGAAATTTAACACAGATAAATGTAAGGTAATCCATGCAGGGAGCAGAAATATAAAGTACAGATATTTTATGGGTTCCACTGAAATAAAGGTAGCTGATTACGAGAAAGATCTAGGTATGTATGTTGATGCTTCCATGTCTCACTCTCGCCAGTGTGGGGAAGCAATAAAAAAGGCCAATAGAATGTTGGGTTATATCTCTAGGTGTGTGGAGTTTAAGTCAAGGGAGGTGATGTTACACTTATATAATTCCTTGGTAAGACCCCACCTAGAATACTGTGTGCAGGTTTGGTCACCATACCTCAAGAAGGACATTGCTGCTTTAGAAAAGGTGCAACGAAGAGCTACGAGAATGATTCCTGGTCTTAGAGGAATGTCTTATGAGGAGAGGTTAGCGGAACTGAATCTGTTTAGCCTTGAGCAAAGGAGACTAAGGGGGGATATGATTCAGGTCTATAAGATTCTAACGGGTCTGGATGCTGTTCAGCCAAATTACTATTTCAATATTAGTCTAAATACTAGAACTCGTGGCCATAAGTGGAAATTAGCGGGAGAACATTTTAAAACAAATTTGAGGAAGCACTTCTTTACACAGCGTGTAGTTAGAGTATGGAATAGTCTTCCTGCTAGTGTAGTGGAAGCTAAAACCATAGGTTCCTTTAATTCAGAGCTAGATAAGATTTTAACAACTCTGAACTATTAGTTAAGTTCTCCCCAAATGAGCTTGATGGGCCGAATGGCCTCCTCTCGTTTGTAAATTTCTTATGCTCTTATGTTCTTATGTCAGCCCGCCCTATAGGAGGATTGCATATAACTTCACATGGTACCATCCGCATCAAGCAAGGGCCATCATCCACCACAGTGATACAGTCTCCCATGAGGTGTGATGCTCAGTGTGTGCTGCTGTCTTTGCTTTTTGGTCGCATTTGTAACAGCAGAGCAGAGTTAGTGACAAAGGTGAAGGATCCTTTAAGGTTCCAAAAAATCTTTAAAAAAAAACAGCAATCCAGAGAGGAGAGATTAAGTTTTATCTAGCGAGCCACTAGAAAAAAGTAGGTCATACTGAGAAGAACCTTACAGTTTTCCTCGATTGCTTTGGAGCATTTCTCAAATGACAATTAACATTTGCAACACAAGAAGTCCTTTATGTAAGTGTAATCCCTACACCATAATGTCACTTCTGCACAGCAGAACATAATTTCTTATTTCCATATGTTTTACAGTTTTTCTTGATTGCTTTGGCTTGGCACATTTGATGAAAAATATTTAACACTCTCAAGACTACAAGAGCATTTCTCAAAACAGTTCATGCATATAGCACAACACTATGGTTTAGCTGCAAAAGCCTGTAACTTTTGCAAAACTATTACAGTTTTTCCCAATTGCTAAAACACTGTCAAGAACATTAAAGCTAGATGACCATATGCTTTTATTTCGTCCTCAAAATGACCACAGTATTCCCAGAATTAAACACTGTGTTCCTGTCGTTAGTGTCATATCAGAGATTGGTTACACCATTTCAGCAGATCGTTAAACACACACCCCATTGGCAAAGCACAGTTATCACCAAATAACCAATCAGAAAACAGTCCTCTCCATAATCAAACACAAGGGCTCAAAACTTAAGATGAATTAAGTGATTCATCCCCTCAAAAATCTTTTCACATGATGAACACAAAAGACGCAACCAATGTATATACAGTGACACATTTTTATTCATGTACTATACAGTACAACACACACCAAAAACATTATTCCACCTCAGCATCCTGTCTTTGGTCTGGATCAGGCCAGAGAATCTCATCCACATCACAGGCTATATTGGCCCTAGCCAGGCAGCGGGGGTAAAATCCTCATGCATGCCTGATCCACCCCTGGCATGCATCTACTGATATGTCTAGGCAGGCTTCTTCCATGGCCTGGAGGAGGTGAACACGGACATAAGGTTCTGTCGTACACTTTCCACCGCCATGCCGAAAATAACTCCTCTATCGGGTTTACAGTTTTTCTCGATTGCTTAAACACACTTCTTGAAACTATGCCTCGTATTCTCAAAACAGTAAACACAAA